CAGCTTGATCAACACGTGGATGGTTAAAGTGAAGTGTCCTTTCTTTAACCTTTAATTCAAAGTCTTTCTCCTGTGTTTATTTTTCCAGACCGCCTGCAGAATTATGTTGGAAAAGAAGAGGTTTTCTCTGAGCAGCAGTTCTCTGAACAGGAAAGGAATTCCAGTTTGGACCAATCAGAACCAGAACTTCTGCAGATAAAAGAAGAGCAGCAACAGCCAGAACATCCCTGGATAAAAGAGGAAACCATGGCGCTCCACATAAGTGAGCACGAAGAGCAGTTTGTTGAGACTGGAGATACAGAAAGGAACCCTTTCCCATGTTTGACATGTGGAAAAAGGTTTCTAAAGAAAAAATATTTATTGGTTCACATGAGAATTCACACAGGTCGGGAGATTTACAAATGTTGGTCTTGTGGAAAAAGGTTTACCAGAAAACAATATCTTGATAAACACATCAGAATTCACACAGGTGAGAAATCTTTCAAATGTTTGTTCTGTGGAAAAAGCTTTACCATAAAAGATTATCTTGATCAACACATTAGAACTCACACAGGTGAAAAACCTTTCCAATGTTTGTCCTGTGGAAAAAGCTTCGCAAGAAAAGAGAATCTTAATAAACACATCAGAATTCACACAGGTGAGAAGTCGTTCTCCTGTACTCTTTGTGGCAAAAGTCTAGCTAGCAAACATAGCCTGACCATTCACATGAGAATTCACACAGGTGAGAAGCCTTTTAAATGTGAGTCCTGTGAAAAAAGCTTTACCGAGAAATGCTCTCTTGATAAACACATCAGAATTCACACTGGTGAGAAGTCGTTCTGCTGTACTCTTTGTGGCAAAAGTCTTGCTAGCAAACAAAGCCTGACCATTCACATGAGAATTCACACAGGTGAGAAGCCTTTTAAATGTGAGTCCTGTGGAAAACGCTTTACCGAAAAAGGCTCTCTTTATTATCACATCAGAATTCACAAAGGTGAGAAGCCTTTCAAATGTGAGTCCTGTGGAAAAAGCTTTACCGGTAAAGGTTCTCTTGATAAACACATCAGATTTCACACAGGTGAGAAGCCATTCTCCTGTACTCTTTGTGGCAAAACTCTTGCTAACAAACATAACCTGGCTTCTCACATGAGAATTCACACAGGTGAGAAGCCATTTAAATGTGAGTCCTGTGGAAAATGCTTTATCCAAAAATGTGCTCTTGATAAACACATCAGAATTCACACGGGTGAGAAGCCTTTCAAATGTGTTTCATGTGGAAAAAGTTTTACCGATAAAGGTTATCTTCATGTACACATGAGAATTCACAGAGGTGAGAAGCCATTTAAATGTGTGTGCTGTGGAAAAAGCTTTTGCCAAAAAGGTGATCTTGATCAACACATCAAAATTCACACAGGTGAGAAGCCTTTCAAATGTGAGTCCTGTGGAAAAAACTTTAGCCATAAAGGTTATCTTAATAAACACATCAGAACTCACATAGCTAAGAGTTTTAAATGTGAGTCCTGTGGAAAAAGCTTTACCCAAAAATGTGCTCTGGATGAACACATCAGAATTCACACAGGTGATAAGCCTTTCAAATGTGAGTCCTGTGGAAAAAGCTTTACCGATAAAGGTATTTTTGATAGACACATCAGATTTCACACATGTGAGAAGACGGTCTCCTGTA